TCATTGTGTATTTAACTCAATCATTGTGTATTTAACTTGAATTTTGCTACAATAGGCTCCATTCTTAACTATGGCTCATCCTTAAACCAAGCATTCTTTACCCAGAAACTACCTGCATATAACGCTATCAGTTAAGAGAACACTGGGTTGCAGTCTTCTGGTTCTTCTCCTAGAAATGATCTCTCAATTTTGCATATGCTCCATTCTTTTGCTTTAGTCTCTTCTGTTGTTTTTACATTCCTCCCCCATTATTGCACAGAAGCATTGATTTAGTTAAGTATGAGGCTGTGATTAATTTTATAATATATTTCTCATTCATATCCATTGAAGAATGCTTTCTCTTTTTTCCCTTTTCTTTCATGCTTTAGGAAAAGTCGATAATTACTCATTCAGCTGTGGAAATCCTAGCACTGTGGTTCTTAGAATGGCATGGAATTACTGAATGCTAAGTAAGTTTATCATATTTGCTATACATTTGTGTAAAAAAGAAACAAATTGCATAAGTATATGCAATAGAAAACTGATGTGATGTAAATTGGGAGCAAGTCAAAGATATTTACTTTGGTTTTATAGTTAATTATTGGGTCAAGTAATCCTCTCCAACTTTTTGAAATGGTTATGACAAGCATAGTTATTTTATGCTACAATAGAATATTCTTGCCTGCTATGTTGGAGAGGTAGTCACTTGCACTAAATAGATGTTCAAAAATCTTTGCATGTTATTTAAAGGCTGTGCAAATCTGAAATAGAATGGGTGAGTTTCCTATATAGGCAAAAACTGACAAGGTATTGAACTAATGACTCATACGCCTTTGTTGCCCACTACTGTAACAGAGTTAGATATGTTTCTCTATATTAACTCTATTTTAGAACATGAAATTCCAACCCTCATTCTCCACAAATGTCTAAACACAAACATTTTCCTAAACTGAACATGACAATTTAAATTTTTGGCTTCAGGTTACTATATATTGAAATAATTGAAATATAGTATAGTAGGGCATACAATAATCTTCTGTAATTTTTTTTTAAAAAGAAATCACTACATTTGGAAGCTCCCTGCTGGAAATAGAGTTTAGGAAGAGATTTATTCCCTGTAGATCATATTATATCAATCCCAGCAATATTTCAGTAGATCTTGGCTATCCACAAGATTGGCACATAAATGAATATAGGAAGTTGCTGTACATCCTCATCTAATAATTGGCTACTGCAGCTCAGTATTATCAAAACTGATTATCGGTGGCTTTCAGGAATTTAGGATATGATGTATGCAGCAATTCAGGTTTTCAAAGCATGTGATCAAACAATTGTATTTTACTAGAGGTTAGACCAACATGAATAGGCTGTCCTAATAGCCGTATGAAACTTAAGTTCTTGTGTTTACGTGGTTAAAACTGGTCAGCTGCACTGTTGAGCAGAAGGTCAGTTAAGCCCAGAAGGCTAGGCTCCTGACTTCTGAAATTATATGTATCACTTGAGTGAATAAATGAAGAAACTTATTTTGTCTTGAGATGCCTGTGAGACTTTTGCTTTCAGAGAAAGGGGAGGGAAAAAAAGCAAGAAGCTCGGTAAAAACATTCAACAGGAACCAAGATGCTCTTTGCATATGTTATGAAAATCTAACAGATGATTAACTTAGACTGACTTTGTTTTATTTAAAATCCTGTGTACATAACTGCTACCTTCCCAAGTTCTTTTTTGTTTTCCCTTTTCCAAATAATTTACTTTTTTATAACCAAAAATTTGGCTGGGTTGTTTTAAAAGAGAATTTCTCACTATAGTTGAGGGGTTCCACAAGAAAAGAAGAATCTCTCCCCTCCTTCTGACAGCAAAAGTGGGTCATTGGATTCCGCTATCTTAACAGAAGTCATTTGAATAGTTATTTCTACTAAGTAAATGTTGCAAATTTGATGGTATTAATATTTCCTCTTTTTTTTCTTTATAAAGATGTTTTTTTTTAAAAAAATCAACCATTTTAAGATACAAGGTATTGTTTTAGAGAATACCATTTCTTTCAGGAAAGAACTGGAGGAAATATTGGGAGAATTAACCATGTGACTGAGAATTTGAGCTGCTTGTCAGATGGTGAGTACCTTGTCATGATTCCTAAAAATAACACCAAACATACCACAATTTCTGTTTTATTTAAAGAAAGGCCTTGAACAATTATTAAATATCCTTAGTGTAATAGGAATGGGTATTTCAGAAGACTCATTATTTTGCCATCCTTCAATGAGTATTCACTCTTGTATCACACAAATATTCAGCTAATAACTTTAGCTAAATTTAAAGCCCCTGGGCATTATTGAGCTTTTGGAAGGTAACTAGTTTAAAGGATCTAACTAAACAAGGTGTTTAGAAGAAAACATTTAGTTTTCTCTGCTTTGACTGTTCTGACATAGAAATTTATTTAAAGTGGATCCAAAATTTACCAGCATACTAGCTTATGAGTTCTATATCCTTTTCCACACCTATGAGCTTATCCAGTGAAACAAAGTATCAGCACCATGGACAGCATCTAATCAGCAATGAAAGGTTTATCTCTTTAACTTATACACACACGCGTGTGCATGCACACACACACACACACACGAAAGGAAAAAGGCTTTAAATAAATGATTCTAAAAGACTGGGATTATTTGTACATTTTGAAAAACATATATAGCTAAGTAGGGACCCTAGCTATGTTACTGCAGCACAAATTAGTTGAGAAGAGTGCTTAGCTGTTTGAAGATCCTAAATAAGAGGTAGTGCTTGCATTTGCTAAACGAAATAGGAAGAAATCTGTGATTACTCTAAGGAGAACACCAGTGGGAGTGATAGTTGGAAGCAGGCAGAGGTTGGGACAATGTTCATCAAATAGCTGATTTCATTTATGTGTTGTTGAAGAAATCTAAAATCCTATCTGGTTTTGGTAGTTTGGTCATACTGCAAATATTCTGGCTTCTCTTGAAACCTCTTAACATGATACATAATTAATAAAAGCTGCTTTGTAGTGCACATTGTTACCTTTGCTTGTGATCAGCTCTTGGGGCAGAATTAAGCAGCATCTAACCTTAATCCTAACTGAAAAGTATGGTTGGGTTTTTTGTCTGTAATGTAAATTCCTTAACAAATAAGTAACTAGACAGTATCAAAGTGCAAACAGAAGCTAGAATTCTTCTTCTCTTGATCTGTATGTCCAATAAATATCTGGGAATAACTGCAACCTATTCATATACTGCCACCTTCAGCTGCCCTTTTAAGATTAGATTTTACAAAACAATTAGAGTTTACTCGCTCTTGCTTAAAATGGAACACTGGATCAGTGATTGAAAATTAAATTGTCATCAAATCTGCAGATAATAGAATCTTATTTATAGAATATTGTAAATTAAGCCGTGAAAGAGAAGCATCATTAATAAGTCATTTACATTGCTGCATACTTCTTCATGCTTCTAAAAGCTTCTCCAGCTTTCGTCTTTTTTGCTTTTTCCAGGACACAATAGAAACTTTAAGTCAAACTGTCAGACTAATGACGAGAGGAAATGGAAGGCTCTTTTTTATGTGAATAGAGAGCTGTCTTGTCTAAACTTCTCTCTCATGCTGTAGTCAGAAGAAGAACAAATTGCTACCTGTGATGGAATGGAATTATGAAGGCCAGGCTCAGGGAGATAAGCATTTTCTTAGCT